AGAGAATTTAGTTTCTCTCTGCAGAACCTGCAATTCCTCGTTTCCATTTGATAAGATAACCAAGCCACTGTCTCCCATTGTCTGAACATTGTGACACAAACATAATCCCATTTCAGACAGGTTAATCTGAGGTCACCGGGGAAGGAAAGCAAACCACTTCTGCTTAACGCTGTGATTACAGCCCAACTTTGTCTTTTGTTTACCTCAGTGTGAGATGTTTTCAAAACATTCGGTTAAAAATTAGGATTCTCGTAAAATAGCTTCCCTGCTGTAGGTGAAAATTAGTGTCGCAAATTCCACTTATTGATAATATAGAAAATGAAGCCTGGGCCCAGAGACCATACTGTGTGGTACCATGTTTCCATGAGGATGACTTTTGCCCCCAGAATGCTGTGCTGTGAGTCACTGAGCTCTAAAGTATGGTTACCATAAAGAATAAGTCCAAGCTAAGTCCTCATGATAACCCTGTCTCTGAGACTGGCTGTTTTCTCCATGGTACGACATCAGTCTGATGGAATTTAGATAACTGCTTTTATCCTACCAGCAGCCATTACACTATGGGATCAAGTGGAAAAGACACTGGCGTCAGTGCATATCTCCTCATGTAGAGTGACTTCAACCAATGGGGAACTCAAAGCTCTTCGACTAACATCAGGATTTGTCCGTGCTTTAATTGAATTGAGAAACAACATTACTATTTCATTAAACACATTCCCAGCAGATCCTGGGAATGACAGCTATGGTGTTTGTACAACAAAAGCAGTTAAACCCTTGAGTTGGCAGCCGGAATGATGAGTTTTCAGACCCGAAGGCAAAACTGAACTTGATGACCATCTGCTGCCTCCTTTTTCACACTAAAGATCCCAGACTGTTTACGCTCTAAGCCTCTCAAACCGGAGAAGAGTCTAGCACAAGCATATGGCAGGGTGTAAGCACCTTATCAGTGTAAGTTACTACTGGACAAATCACATTAACCCTGAGGAAGCTGTGGCCATACTTTCTGCACAGGAGGTGCTACCAATGAACAAAAGTGTTGATGTCTGTGTGTTGAGCTCATTGTGGCTGGTTTACATAAAGGGAACGTCTGGCATATCCCAACATTCTAGTTGTCCCCAAGTGGCTCAGTCAAGGCTAAGCTAAGACACAGATCTAAGAGTCTAAAGAGTCAAAAAACACAACCAAACTGAGCTTCACGTGAGAAGTGTAATAGTAGGACGTCGAAAAACAACTTGGGAAGTTCAGTACAAGTTGACTTAGGGAAGATGGATGAATGTGCAAATTCATTAGACAGCCCATCTGTAGCCTGAAGCTTAAGGGTAAACGGTTAATTACAGTTTATGGACTGCAGCTAGATTGTGCTCTTAAGAGACAGCGTAAATAAAACATCATTACTCAGAGGGAGCATTTGGGGGATGAGAGAGAACTGGCCGCCATTGAGGCAAAATTGACATTTTTCTGCCTCTGAGAACCTGTTGCTTTGCAACAAAGCTTCTTTTAATGTGGCCCCATCCAGCAGCCATGAATAGACTGAGCACAGGGTATGGGCTGTCACCCTCTTTATTTGCCAGATATAACAGAGTAAACAAAGTTTTTCTCACAGTCAACAAGTGATTTTAGAATTAGAAATACCTCTGCAGAGTACTTATGGTTGCTACCCAAAATGTAAGAAAAAAAAAAAATATACGTATATATATGGCACAAACTTTTGGTCATGGACTTGAAAAAAAATATATAAACTTATTTTCCTAAACATTATTTAGTTATTTATCAAGTGCGAAATGTAAATTATTTTGCATGATTCTATCTGCATGGTTAGGAATGGAAAAATACTGAAAGACAGATGTAGTTTCTTGGAGCCTGTGGTTCAATTTAATAAAGTGACTTGCTTTTTTGTGAGTTTTCATAAAATAATATTTCTTACTACTACTAGTATTTGGAAATCCTCTATCAATCAATGGTTCGCTGACTCTTTACCACTTTAGGCCAACAGCGAAACACAAACAGATCGTAACCAGTGTGAGAGATGGAAAACACAAACACATTCTTTCTCATAATGTTCATATAAAACTAAAGTATGAAAAGTGTTTAGTCACAGTACTAGTCACGCATACTGCACGCAATGAGTTGCAGCTAGAAGTAGACTGGTGAAAATCATGTTGGGTCCTCAGAGAAAGAGCGCAGATAAACATCATAAAATGTGGAACTTGCCAAGCTGAAGTACTAATCATCCAACCCACTGTGCCTTTATATGAACACCCCCTCAATACTTATCAGAGCTCATTTAAATGAACATCCAGATCGAGCGTCTGTTAAAGAGGAAAACAGAAAACATGTACTTCTAACTCTGTAAGACCACATTGTTACTGCAGAAGTTTTTAAGGCCCAACCCAGAATGTTACTGCTCTGTTAAAGTTCATTTCAGGAACCTGATATTTTATTTGGATTAGTCTTGTGTTGCCACCAGACTAAGCCCAGCCACATGTTATCAGTCTATAGGAAGTGGTCACTAACTATATTTGTCAGAGGGCCAAAATTTTCTGGACAGACAACTTGGCGCCTTGACACTAAAAAAAAATAAAATAAAATCACATAACATCTGATTTAAAAAAAGTACAACAGCACAAATGTCTAATAACTAATTCACTCAAATATCTTTTAGAGCAGTTGAATAGTTGAAAGATGAATCCAGAAAGTTATGTTGCTACATTGTCAACTGCAGGGAACCACAGCTGACCAGCTGCACTCTGTACAAAATCATGTTTCCAACAAACATGGATGTCTGCTTAAAGCCATTCCAGCAACATAGTTTGGCAAAAGCATTTTATTGTGCAACTCTGTTGGAGAGCTCATTGTTTCACATTCTTTTAAGCAGGCACAACTTGGATGTTACTAAGCAGTGGCAGTGGAAATCTGATTTGCCCGAAGCTAATCCAGATGTTGAATTTACAATGAGATCTGCCATGGGGGGGTTGGGGGGGCAGTTTAGACCCCTGGTTATCTGTTTGTATCTGCACAGCTTGTAAACCCTGCAAAGACACACTGCAAACATACTTCCTCTTAACAACCAAAGAGAGACAAGAAAAAGAAAAATTGTCTCCGGTTTCATTTTCAATTTAAGTTTTCCTTCAACAAGTGGCCTTGTAAAAAAATGCTGCTTCACGCAACTTGTATCGATGCCACATTTTGTGGTGAAGAGTTTCA